GGGGGGGAAACGCACAACTCACCCTCCTGTATGATGCTGTGAAGTCCATCCATACACCGGTACGCCACGCACTGCCAGTTCTCGGGCAGACGAAACATCTGGCCGTGTGTGTACGTCAGTCCGTTCACCGTACAGTTTTTGTAGCTCGCGTCCACGACAACGGTTGGGTTAGCAGGGGAGTTCAAACCACACTTATAGCTCAGTTTGTACCCGGCTACTTGGCACGTGCAGTCGTCGTGTACCTGGCCCCCGATCTCGTAAGGGAAAATGGCGCCCTGGTCGTAGCAACTTCCGTTTGAGGCTCTGCAGCCTGAAAGAGATGACGTCAGAGGTTTTTGTGTGGCAGCTTGCACTGGGCCGGATTTTTTAATGAGAGCAATGGACACAGGCAATGGTTTCGAACCCATTGACTTGAATAATATATATCCTGTTTCCTTTGGGAGTTTTTATAAGAATTTTACAGCATTCGCAGCTCAGACAGGTTGCATAAGTGTTGAAGATTACAGGTCACTACCCTAGAAATACAAAGTTCTATCTGCTCAGTACAAAGTGTTGTGGAATTTGACGTCAAACCTTTTGAGTTTCACTACATCTCAAGCTTTTTCGAATGCAATCTTTGAATATCCTGATAACGACTCCGAATAACATTATGATTTTGATTGAGCAGATAGAACATTTGTTAGTTTCTAACCTCATGGTCTCAGTAACTAAAAAAAAAAAAACCCGGCCAAAAATGTCAGATGGAACTTTGTAATTCTAAGGTAAAGAGGTGTTGCCAGACAATAACATACATAGGAACAAAGGAGGAGAGATGTTCACGATAGAGTATTGAGAGGAAAGAAGGAGCAAACCACATCACAGCAACTGTCAACTTAAATGATCTCAATTTTGTTGATGGGCGCGAAGAAACGTCTATATTGAACAAACATGATTTACCCAAAATATAAATCGTTTTCAACCTGCACAACAGTCTGGCAATAGCTTACAGAAAAGAAATGAAAAGGTAAGATCAGACAAATAAAGGGTCTAAGTCATCTTAGTTTATTCGGAGAAAAATGAAAAAGATATATTTTTTTTTTAAACCACAAAGACTTGAGCATGATACACTACTGAGTTTGGAAAATTTGTGAGGCAGCATGGTGGAATCAGGCTCTCGTCAAAAGAATCAAAGTGAAGAAACTTGCATTTTTTCACAGGTTTGGGATTTTTTTTCAGATTTTTGTTTTTTGGCTCAACACTTTTCATGCCCATTAAAGAACTCATTTCTGTATGGATTTTTCTGAAAAACGTTGATTAAAGGCACAAAAAAATGTAAATTTTCAGTTACCACGGACTCTTAAGCTAAAAAAATAACTGATCTTTGGCGGCCATTTTCTCACTAATCTTACCTCTGAAAACAGGTGACCCCACCCCCTTCATTCGCAAATATCTCGACTTGTATTCAAAATAAATGGATATTTTTTCACCCAAGTAAAGACAAATGAATAAGCTTTAAGATGATACCAATAACTCTACATGCTCAAAAACTGACGAGAGCCTGATTCCACCTCGCTGCCTCTCATTTATAAAATCTTTAAAGCCTGATATAACTCTTACTATACGGCCAGCCAGATTAGTTGGCCCACGGGATCACTCAGTTGTTTATTTACCCCCCGGGGCAGTGCCACTGACTGAAGTGTCTTTAGGCCATCCCCAAAGGGGGGACATTTCTCGTTCAAGCACAGTAGAATTGTAAATGGGTTGATTCGTGTCACGCTCATAACTGTGCCTGATCTGCAACAGGGAACTGCTGCTTTTTCTTTCCTAATCCTTACTATTGTCATTTTCCTCTACTTCTTTTGTATGTTTGTCACTCTCTTGTGACCTGCTATTTCCGGGGCGCCTTGATAGTTGAAGCAGACCTTGTGCTGTTGAAGCTAGAGAGGTGAGCAGAGTAATTCTGATTCCCTGTGAAACTTCTCTGTTGACACTCACCCCTTGGCGCTAATATGAACTTATGGAGTTGCGAGCGCCGTAAAACCCTCTACTATAAAAAAGAGTTGTTTATTTTCCTAAGAAAATTCTGCCAAAACTCAACAAGTTCATCTCATCTTCAACAGATCTGAACAAAAATAAGTATATCTATTGCTTTGATCATTCATTTTGGTGTTAACGTTACGCAAATAAGTGAAAAATGAGCGGAAGCTTTCTGCTTTTCTTTGTTTTTGTTTGTTTATTTGTTTGTTTTTGACTTTTTGTTGTTGTTTTTTTCGTCCCGTCTTCCTTTTTCGAGTGCCATGTTATACGGAGTGCCCATCGGGGCATCGGACAAACCGATCGCCCGACTCGTCGCCTAAAAACAAACGCGGTTTTTTTTTTTAGGCGATTAGACGTTTGTGCGACGATAGCCGCTTTGCGCCCTTAATCTGGCAAGCATACAGAACTAACCAAACCAATCGAGCCAATGGGCCCTGGGTATTGGTGATCTATCTCGCATCAGACAATCATTGACTATGAGAACGTGAGTGAGTCGGCACAATGATATTTTAGGGTTCGAAAGGAAAAATAAGAGAATGTGAATAATAATGATTAGATCTGACACGCGTGACGTCACTGCTGCGAGCTCTCGCTGTTGCCCTACAACCTCTTTGTTTCAATGCTACTAACGGGGTGCCCACCACGGCTGATCGGGCCTATCGCCCGATTCGATCACCTGAAACTGAAAACAAACACGTTTGTTTTTTAGGCGATCGAGTCGGGGAGATCGGCCCGATCGGCCGATCCCAGCTGTAGTGGGCACCCTGTATAAGGTTATAAATAGTACTAAATAGTTCTATTTACAATCTCTTCGTGCCACAGCCATGTTGTGTAGTATCCACTGACGCTGAGCGTTTCCGTATTCCATGATCTCTGAATTTTTTGCTTTTGCTTTTATTTCTGCCTTTTGTTTTTAGGAGTGTTTTGGGTTTTTACCCGTTTTTTAAATAAGCCAAATGTTATTGAGATCCTTGATTTTTGTGTTTTTACGGTCCTGTAAAGCCAAGAAAAATCCCCCCACCCCCCCCAC